TAACCCGATTTGGCGCCATAGGGGTCCCTAGGTCCACCATCGTTATGGCCCATGTAGCCACGGCTCTGATAGCTACAAAAAAACAAAATATTTTTTAATGTAAAGATTTTAGAAAATAAAATATCTAACTATAGTTAGCTATTTTAGTACAATTTAATAGTAAATTTTTTAAAGAATTTCTAGAATGTTTCCAATAACGTCATGTACTAAAATTCCTATGAATTAAACACACTTGAATAAATTAAGTCTGTATAATGCGCCTGGAAAATCACATTTATTTTAAAAACTCCAAATACCGCAGAAAATGAGGACAAGCTTCGAATAAAACAACAAGTTTTGTTTTTATTGGTATACATTTATTAATTAGTTTTAATCAAAAATAATTTGCTCAGATGATTTTTTTTAACATTCTCTTTAATATGAACACAACATGTCTCAGGACTGGGTGGTCCCTTTAAGGAAAAGTTTGTAGAAAATAGTTCATATCTCAAAAATATTTCTACTTAAAAAGCAATTTAAATAATATAGGCTTTCGGTTACTTATATTGTTACTGTACTTTACAAAAAAAATATTTCATAGAATATATATATGTATATTTTTCTCGTGTGTTTTATTTTTAACTTAACATGAATTAATTAAAGAACTATTACTGAAACAATTTGATAAACAATTAAAAAACCTTTAAGACAAAACTGATAAAATGGTTAACTAAATAGAAGAATAAAAAATTGTGCAAGTAAATGCAAGTTTTATTATTATTCTGATTCCACTTCCAACAAGGCTGCAAGCAACCATGTTGTATGAGTCAAGAAAGCAAGAAGATGGGAGAGAGTTCCAAAGGATTAGAGTTTGGAGGAAAAACTAGACAAGTGAAAGTATTAAGAGTATGACAAATCAAGTGAGAATATAGGCTTAATTACTATAAATTACTGTATTAAATTAATTGGTTGTTTTGATTAATTAAATGGTTTTTTTTTAAATTAAATGGTTTTGATTAATTAAATTGTTTTAAATCAAATGGTTGTTTATAAGTAAATTTACTGTGATCTACTTTAACCATTCAATAAATTAAATACAACTTTAAAAGGTTCAGGGTCATTAAAACAAAAAATGTTGAAGCAAAAAAGTTACTGGTTTCACTAGCATTAATTAACTATTAGAAATTTTTTAAAATAAAGACAAATTTAATATATATATTTTTAAAGTGGTAAAATTAATAAAATAAAATTGATAAAATAATAATTAAAATTATTAACAAATTAATTTGATGCAACATTTTAAAAACAAAGATAAAAACCTGGCTGTTTTGTTAAAAAAAAAACAATAAAGCAAAAATTTGCTTTAACATCTTTTTCGCTTTTAAACTTTTCGCTTTAACGACCTTTTAAAAATACTTTTGTCTTCCACGCAGAAATTTATAGTAATTTAAGTTAAAAAGTGCTTTACATGGAATGAAAATCTCCACACGAAAGAGCAAATGATCATGCTTCTATTCAAAAGATAAATTTAGCTTGACATACTTTATGAACCCTAATAAAAAAACTTTGACAAAAACAATACTTTTAAGAATTGCCAAAAAAAAATGCTTAACTAGAAAAAAAAAAATTGAAAAAATATTTTTTTAATGAAAAAACTAATTGTAAAGGTGTAAAAAGCAATCACGATTCACGATCGCAATATGCTTGATTCGAGCCCTGATATATATATATATATATATATATATATATATATATATATATATATATATATATATATATATATATATATATATATATATATATATATATATATATACATATATACACACATATATATATGTGTATATATATATACATATATATATATATATATATATATATATATATATATATATATATATATATATATATATATATATATATATATATATATATATATATATATATATATATATATATATATATATATATATATATATATATATAGATATATATATATATATATATATATATATATATATATATATATATATATATATATATATATATATATATATATATATATATAAAGTTATATTATATAAAAAAGTTATTAATTTGACATTATACTATTGATTTATGGAGTACTGTGTTATTTGTATTACAATTTGTATTACAGGATTTGTATTACCGGATTTATTTTTGTATTACAGGATTTGTATTACAGGATTTTGTTTATTTTTAAATTTTAACATTTTTTAGGAGTTTGAAAGAATCTACCAACAATTTTTTCCCTTTGGTGACCCATCGAAGTTTGCAGCATTTGTATTCAAAGTTTTTGATAAAAATGCTGTAAGTAAATAAAGAATTTAACTTCCAAAAAACAAAGTAATTATTTTTTTATTAAAATGATCTGAATTTTTTTTTAAAGCTCTAATTCATTTTTAACAAGTAATATTGCTAATGTTACTAAAACATATATATATATATATATATATATATATATATATATATATATATATATATATATATATATATATATATATATATATATATAAAGTTATATTATATAAAAAAGTTGTATATATATATATATATATATATATATATATATATATATATATATATATATATGTATATATATATATATATATATATATATACATATATATATATATATATATATATATATATATATATATATATATATATATATATATATATATATATAAAGTTATATTATATAAAAAAGTTGTATATATATATATATATATATATGTATATATATATATATATATATATATATATATATATATATATATATATATATATATATAAAGTTATATTATATAAAAAAGTTGTATATATATATATATATATATATATGTATATATATATATATATATATATATATATATATATATATATATATATATATATATATATCTATGTATATATATGTATATATTTTTACTTATATATTTATATATATATATTTATATATATATTTATATATATATATATATATATATATATGTATATGTATATATATATATATATATTTATATATATATATATATATATATTTATATATATATATATTTATATATATATGTATATATATGTATATATATGTATATTTGTATATAAATATATATATATATATCTATGTATATATATGTATATATTTTTACTTATATATTTATATATATATATTTATATATATATTTATATATATATATATATGTATATGTATATATATATATTT